CGGGCATTGCACGACATGGGTGCACTTACCTACATGCAGGCAATGCACACGTACGCGCACACACACACACACACACACGCACAAAGAATAAAATATTAAAAAATAAATTAAAAAAAAAACTAATTATGATTTAAGTGTAGAAAGTTAATTCCTTTAGCAAAGAAGCAAGGTTTATGTGTTGACTATGACCATTAATAAAATATGCCAAGTATCAAAATGAAGGGAAACCACCATCTATACAAACCCTACAGCATCTCTAACATCGGTATATGAGTGAAAAGTTGTCATTACCTGTAGATAGAGTAATCCTAAAGTTGTAAGGAGTTCTGTATTTTCCGGTGAGAACCTAAAACATGATCACAGTGAAACCATAGTTAGAGACACAGACATGCATAGCTATCTGTCCTCTTGCAACATTTGAGACACTTTACCAAACCTAATTCCCATGTAATTTCTAAGGGCAATTTGGGAATGTAATTCAAAAGTAGGTCATCTCAACCTGGCAGCATGGAAGATTTGCTCAGTAAGCAAGAAATGGACTGAGATTCCAGATTCTTAAGACTTTTCCTCAAGACTAATAGCCTTTTAAAAAAAGAACGAAATAATTCAGGACTTGTCTTGACACTGAAAATAACAGAGCTTTAAAACCAAGTCACTCAGGAACATACATAGGCAAGCTAGCCCCTTCTTGTGGGTGTTCTTTTTACTATTTTCACTGTGCACACAATGCCAGGGAGCATAGTTTTCTACGCAATTTAGGATCCAAGGCCTCTGGTACTCTGCTCTCCAAATTAAACAAAATGTCATGCCAAACCGCCAAACTAAACAAAAGGAAGGCACATTCCAGCCCTCGGAAAGAATTACCCACTGGCCCTTGAGAGTAAACACTGAGCTATAAATATCTGCCTTCTCCATCCCTCACTGATACCTGACTTTGTTAAAAAGCCAAAGCAACAGAATTGAGACCATGTAGCTACAGGATCAGCAGTTGCAGCAGAGAACATCATCATAGAACATCAAAGAACAAGAGACAGTGTCTCCTGTTTGTAAGGAATTCGGGAGGATGCTTGTTACTTTTAGGAAGCCCAGAACTTGTGGAGCCAAAACACTGCCAGGGAATCCCTGAGCTTCCTCAGTTCAACTGAGAATTTTCCCTTTATTTTCTATCATAGTAAGTATCCATTTTGATCACTTTCCTCTCCAAACAACGTAAGTAACTTCTGCCTCCAATTCTTATGATTCTAACAGCATCTGTACCACCACACAAGGCTAAAGCTGTGGGTCACAAACCTACCTTCTCAGGCTTCACATGTCCTTTGGGAAATGTAGAAACAAGTCTTTTGAGTAGTCACTGGAAACATGCCTTACAGAAGCCTTCACCAGGAGCTCTTAACCTAGCCACGTGTGTTTTCTCTTAGGCTTAGGAGTTCATATATCTGTTCCACTGCTTTTAGTTTCTCATTGCTTCCAGCAGGCATATCCAGCCTATAGTCCATGGCTGCATGTACCTCAGGATAGCTATGAATGTGTCCCAACACAAAATGGTAAACTTTGAGAAAATATTGAGATTGTTTTGCAGTTTTATGTTTGTTCCTCTCTTGTGCACTTCTTGAGCACAGACTTTGTAGGTGACAACTTTGTGCTGTAATGTTAAAAGGTTGGACACACTTGTTACAGTCCAAGGGAAATACTTACTCCACTGCTTTCTTGTAGATCTCAATGGCTTTGTGCAGGTCTCCTTCCAGTAAGTGGATCTTCCCCAGCATTATGTAAGTCAGATCATGCCTGTTAAGCTGGAGGGCACTGTGCAAATGGTCTTGTGCCTAACAAGTTTAATGGGATAAAGAGAACCAAATCGATACAATTGGAAGGACAATGGTTTTCTATGTTGAGTGTGAAGACAAAGCTTTGATGTACTAATACAGAAACATAGTGTTTCAGAAAAGTTTCTACCACCCAGAGCCAGCTTGAGGCTTTGTAAAAAGGACAGCTAGCAACATGGACTATCTCTGGACCACTTAGAAGAGTTCATAGAAGATGATCAGCTTTCTGAATGTTTTGACATGCATACCCATGACTGATATTTCATAACCCCGAGGGGACATCATAGTACAAGTTGCAGAATACCACACCAAACTCAATCCCACCCACACTCCGGAACACTTGCACAGCCTTTACCAAGCTGGACCTTGTTTTCTCCACCAATATGATAACAAATGAAGGAAAAGGCTGTCTGCATTTATTCGTTCAACAAGTACTCTCTGAGTGCCTACTATTCTAGGTGTCAGGTATACTAGAGTTAACACAAAAATAAGGGCTAAGAATATACTCACCTCAGGGAGGAAGTACTATTTTTCAAAAATTTTTTTTTCAATTTTATGAGTGTTATGCCTGTAAGTACCCACGTAAAAGTACTCATGTCGTATAGAGCCTGTGGAGGTCAGAAGAGGGCGTCAGATCCCCTGGAACTGGAGTTATGGATGGTTTTTAGCCACCATGTAGGTGCTGGATTCAAACCCAAGTCTTCTAAGAACAGCCAGTGCTGAGCCATCTCTCCGGCCCCCAGTGCTAAGAGTACTTGTGTAGCATGTTCAAGGCCTTGGGTTCAATCTCTAGCACCACAAAACAAAGAACAAAATAACTTCTTGCGCTGAAGGAGCGTATATCTTCATAGATAAACGAAAGGGCTTTTGTTCATTCACTGATTCAACAAGGCCTTATATAAATGACAGATTTTTGTATTAGCATATCCTCTTAGCTTTATAGTAAAATCTAATTCTCTTCCTCAGTACAGGTCCAAAGATAAATCTTGCCTCACCCTGACTTAGCTATACTATGAACAGAAGTGTACCCACTCAAAATATTCTCTAAAGAGAAAAATTCAGTCAGCTATATAGAAGTATAGATTCATGTAGAAAACATGTCCTGCTGAATATTTTTTTTCGTTTTAAGACAGGATCTCCCTGTAGCCCCAGCTGCCCTGGAACTCACTATGTAGACCGTGCTGGGATTAAAGGTTATGTATCTCACAGAGAAAAAAATTACTCTTACACAATTAATTGCTGATGTGCAGATTTTTTTTTTTTTATATCCCTGAGAGAAAACATAGGTTACACCATCTTGCAAATAGACATTAAATCCTGTTAAATGGGTGTTAATTCAGAGTCGGTCTTCATGAGAATGAAGATGCACAGTCACTTCTGGGACAGTCATGCAGGAAACTGGCCAGTCACCATCACTACCTTTCAGGAAGATGTATACCTATTTCTTTTCTTCTTGTTTTGAGACAGGGTCTCCTTACAGCCCCAGGTGGCCTAGAACCAGGCTGACCTCCATCTCACAAAGATTCACCTGCCTTTGCCTCCTGAGTGCCAGAATTAAAGGTGTGAGCATCATGCCAGGCTAAGATTTTTTTTTTTTTTTTTTTTTTTGTCTTTTTGAGACAGGGTCTCCCTGTAGCCCTAGCTGTCCTGGAACTCACTATGTAGACCAGGCCAGCCTTGAACTCACAGAGATCCGCCTGCCTCTGCCTGGCGATGTTTACCTATTTCTTAATCTGAACACCAAGGTAACTTCAAAGTTCTTTGATATTAAAGTTTTAGAGCATAGAGCTTGATCATAATGGAATATAAATTCTCACCATAGAAAAGGCTGAAAAGAAAACTAAAAATTCTCAAAATCCACTTAACATTTAAAATTTATTTTCATTGACTTAAAAAAAAATCAGTTGCACCGGGCATGGTGGCGCATGCCTTTAATTCCAGCACTCAGGAGGCAGAGGCAGGCAGATCTCTGTGAGTTCAAGGCCAGCCTGGGCTACATAGTGAGTTCCAGAACAGCTGGGGCTACAGGGAGACCCTCTCAAAAAGACTACAAAAAAAAAATTAGTTGCTGTCACAGCATAAGAGAATTTATACGGTCATGATGATACCTTTAAGACTTAGGTCCTAGGGCTGGAGAGGTGGCTCTTGCAGAGAAGCCAGGTTCAGTTCCCAGCACCCGTCAGGAGCTCTAACACCCTCTCCTGGCCTCCACAGGCATTGCACCTATGGGTATATACTTACATACATGCAGGCAAAACACTCGTAAAATAAAAATAACTGAAAAAAAATTTTTTTAAAACTTAGGTCCCCCACCCCACTTTTGTGAGACAGTGTCTCACTAGCGATTAGGCTGGCCTCAAACTGAGATCCTTCTGCTTGAGCCTCCCAGTTGGTGAGATTATAGGATAACGCTGCTGTGGCCTGAAAAGGTCTACTTTTTGGCATTTCTTTCTGGAAATTTGTTCCTATACTAAAAAAATTAGACAAGGGGTAGAGAAAAAGAAAGGGGAAAGCAATTAGACTGCCATTCATAGTTCTAGAATTTTCCATTTTCTTATCAAAAGTAGAAAAAAATGGGCCAGCCATGTGGTACATGCTTTTATTCCCAGCACAGCCAGGCAGATCTCTGAGTTCCAGGCCAGTCACAAATACATAAGGCCCTATCTCAAGAGAAAAAAAAAAAAAGGAGGGATGGGGTGGCTAGAGAGATGGCTCTGTGGTTAAGAGCACTGGCAGCTCTTGCAGAGGACCCAGGTTCAATTCCCAGCACCCATACAGCAGCCAACAATCATCTGTAATTCCAATTCTAGAGGATCTGATGCCTCTTCTGACCTCTGTGAGCACTGCACAACACAGGTGCACTTACATACATGCAGGCAACACACTCATACATATAACATGGCAATAAAATATAAAAGACAGTGTTTACTTTCAAAAACTTCTGCAAATAGTAGAGCAAGTAAAAAATGAGCAGCAGCACCTCTGTAACATTTGAACGCTCTGTCAGCCATTGTCACCGTTTCTATAAATTACCTTGTTGAACTGCTTTAGATAAATGTAGCAGACTCCCAGGTTATGGCAGATCTCCTACACACAAAAGACAGGAAAAGAGCTTAGGTGTAATTCCATATTAAACATTATATTATTTCACAACAAGCATCTCAAGACTGTAATTGCTCAGCAAAGTGAACTTTGAGACATGCATTACAATTAGGTTTTTTGTTGTTGTTCGTAAATACGTGTAATTCTACAAAGGAAATGTCTAAGATATTTTTAAAGAATAGACAGGAGGGGCTGAAGAGATGGCTTAGCGGTTAAGAGCACTGACTGCTCTTGCAGAGGACCTGGGTTTGATTCCCAGCACCCACATGGTGGCTACAAACTGTCTTTAACTCCAGTTCTAGGGGAATCCGAAGCCCTCTTCTGATGTCCGCAGCACTGCACAACACGGTGCACTCACATACATGCAGGCAATACACTCATACACATAAAATAAAAATAATAAAATATTTAAAAAAGAAAAAAGAATAGACAGGGATCCTCCCAGATCTCTGTAGTTCTTTATGGTGCACACTTAGCATAGTTCTCCCTACCCATTGTCTAAGGGCAGCTTACTACCTACATACTTTGTACCTTTTTCTCAAAAGAGACTATCTATAGTCTTTGCTGGCAGGACTGCTAGCTATACATCACAACTATTAAGGAAATCCTGTCTTAGCTATTTCTGGATACCTGAGTCTTTTCTGTAGGAATCTTGAATTGGAAGGAGTTCTGGCCAGTTCTAAGTACTAAATTCCCTAGCTATGGACTTGGAGACTGACAGTGCCACCTGGAGGCCACTATGATGGATCCATTCCTCTCCTTTATTGGAACACAGTCACTTTGCATGGCTCTTCTGCACAGTAACTTGAAGTACAGAGGTAAGTGCTCTAACAGTACACAAAGCTCCAAGACTTAAACTGTATACTAACTAGAGTTACAAGAGTTTCCCAATCTCTGATCTACACAAAGGAAAGATAAAAAATACAGACTAGGTTGCTGACAGCTTTCTAATTCTAGTTCATGTAAAAATTAGCTATCTTCTGGCCTTAAATGTTTGCACAGCAAGTGATTACAAAGTTTAATTCCTTTGTAATTTTACTTTAGCAGCTTTAGAGTAAGAAAAGTGTTTCTTGGACCAACTACCCTGTTAGTAGTAGGGATATGCCCTTGTCTCAGGAACACAGACCACAAGGCTCAGAGAGAGACATCTAGTTTAAGGTTTTCCAAATCTGCTAAAATAACAAAAAAACAAATAAATCACTAACTGATCACCTATTATGCAACAGGCTCTATATCAAATGTTTTCATATACATTATTTTTTCAGCCAGTCGTGGTAGCACACGCCTTTAATCTCAGCCCCCAGGAGAGGGGGGCAGAGGCTGGCGGATCTCTGTGAGTTCAAGGCCAGCCTGGTCTATATATTGAGTTCCAGGCCAGCTGAGGCTACAGGGAGACCCTGTCTCAAAAAGACCAAAAACAAAAAACAACAAAAACAATACATTACTATTTTTTCCACAAAATCTACAACATAGGTATATTGTTTCCAATTTTACAGGAAACCAAAGCTGAGAGAGATTAGTTTTCTTAATACATAAAGTGACAGCCCATGATTTTTTTTCTTTTCTTTCTTTAGTTCTGTATCCTAACCATGTATAAATGTGAACAGAATTACCATGTACTCATCAGCCTGACAGCTGTCTACTATCAGAGAGCACAACATTTCATCTAAAAATACTTCAGTATATATCTCAAAGTCATGATCTTCAAAAACAGTTTTTAAGCCCACAATACCATTAGCCCACCTGGAAAAAAAAATAGTAATTGTCTCATAAATATCTCATTCTTAAATTACTTTTTTTTTTTTTTTTCAGTTTTAAGACAGCATTTCCCTGTAGTCCCAGGAATTCACTATGTCAACAAGGCTGGCCTTGATCTCAAAAAGATCCACCTGCCTCTGCCTCCCAAGTGGGATGCTGGAATTAAAGGCCCGCCTTAAAATTATGTTTCTTAAGTCACAATTTAAATAATTGCCTCCAAACCTCGTATATACTCTACTTCATCATGCTGTAAGGATGTACACATTCTTATACTGGCTGGAGAAATGGCTCAGCAACTAAAAGCACTGGCTGCTCTTGCAGAGGACCCAGGTTTGGTTCCCAGCACCCACATGTCAGCTAACAGCCATCCTTAACTTCAGTTCGGGGGATCTAATGCCCTCTTCTGAACTCCATGGGTATTGCATACATAGGTGCACTTAATGGATACATGCACACAAAATACTTATATGCATAAAAATTAATTTTAAAGATTTAAAAGAATGTACACATGGAAACCAAGGGGAAAAATACCACCTTTCCTGTCCTTTAAATACTCTAACTGATAAATAACCATTAACTTTTTCAATCATTTGCCACAGATGGTACTTGAGAAGGCAGCGTCAATATACCTTCAACTGACAGCACAAGAAATGTGGAAAGGAATATAGAACAGTCAGTCAAATCTACCTTTCATGAGGTAAGAGTGTTCAGGCTAGAGTGGGCAGTCACAGACTGTAGGCTGCATTCTGGTCATCTACTACTCACTGTGTGCCCTTCAGCATGTCAATCCATCCCCCAGAGCCTCAGCTTCCTCACTTGTCATTGATGGAAATTTTCCCTACTTAACAGCTGTTCCAAAAATTAAGACAAGGGCATGCAGAATTATTTTTGTTAGAGCCAGACTGTGAAATACCATGAACACAAGAAAGCAGAGCTAGGCTTCCTAAAGACAGTCATCAAGTATGTAAGGTATCCAGCTGTTTCCGGGAGTAACCACTCCACTGGTGCAACTGAAGGGTTATCCCAAATGCCTCAGAAGACCAAATGAGCTCTTTCAACTGGATGGAGTAACAAACATGCTTCATTTCCACTGTGGCCCCAAGCTCTCTGACTCATCTCCCTGTTTCCATCTAGGGGTTCTTTTCTCTTCAGCCCTTTCAGGGTTCCATCCTCGACTCACTACACAGTATCCCATCCAGTTTCATGATTTCAGTTACCAACTTTATGTTATTGACTCCAAAATGTTCAAAGGTAGCCCAGAACACCACGTTTCTATATCCAACTAAGCACTAGACATACCTGTTTAGATATCCTATCTAAACGAACACTCATCATGTCCAAATTCTTCTGAAAGATGGAAATCAAAATGTAAACTAAGTTTTTATTTACTTATTTATGTTTGCATGCTGGATACTGAACACGGCCTTCCTAAGCTGTATTTCTAGCTCAAATTTAACTTCACGTGTAGCTTTACTTTGGCCTTTAATGGCTCAACTCATCCCAGCACTTGTGAAGTACAGGCAGGGGAAGCAAGAATTCAAGACTATCCTCTGCTATAAAAGCAGTTCAAGGCCAGCCTGGGCTACATGAGGCCAGTGAGGTGGCTCGTAGATAAGGGTATTTGCCACCAAGCCTGAAAACCTGAGTTTGATAGGAAAAGAGAATCAACTCCTGAAAATTATCCTCTGACCGCCACACTCATGCCACAGCCCATGTGCCCTCACATACATACATACATATACACACAAAATAAGATAAATGTAATAAAGAATTTTACAGGAAAAATAATCTTCATATATACAGAAAAAAAAAACCAAGATTGAAACATACTTCAAAAATAATTGTGTTCAGGGCTGCAGAGATGGCTCAGTGGTTAAGAGCACCGGCATTTCTTGCAGAAGACCAGGGTTCGAATCCCAGGACCCATATGGCAGCTAATAACTATTTATAACTCCAGTTCCAGGGGATCCAATGCCTTTTACTGGCCTCCCTAGGCCCTGTACAACATGGGTGCCCTTACATACATGCAGACACAACACTCATACACATAAAATGAAAATAACTCAGGGTTGGGAGCCGGGCTAGTGGCTCACACCTTTAATCCCAGTGCTCAGGAGGCAGAGGCAGGCAGGCAGATCTGTGAGTTCCAGGCCAGCTGGGGCTACAGGTCTTTTTTGTCTCAAAAAGACCAAAACAACAAAAATCAAGAGCTGGAGAGATGGCTCAGCAGTTCAGAGCACTGGCTGCTCTTGCAGAGGACCCAGGTTTGATTCCCAGCACCCACACATGGTGGCTAACAACCATCTGTAACTCCAGTTCTAGGGGACCCAATGCCCTCTTCTGACCTCTGTGGGCATTGCATGACACAGGTGCACTTACACACATGCACTCATACACGTAAAAATAATATTTTAAAAATAAATCACAGCCAGGCGTGGTAATTCATGCCTTTAGTCCTAGCACTAGGGAAGCAGAGGCAGGTGGATCTCTGTGAGTTCCAGGCCAGTTGAGGCTAACAGGGAGACCCTATCTCAAAAAGACCAAAAACTAAATAAATAAATCGCAAAAAATAATAGTGCCATAAGAACTCCAAAGTAGACCATGTTATATATATATATCTACTACAATCAATGTAATCTTTCAAATATAGAAAGATCTCCCCAAGAATCAAACACTTGAAAAAATGAAAAAGAACTAAAAGGAAAGCAGAAAGAGAAAGATAATTCTAGGAAGCAATACAGAACTTCATTGGAGAGAACAATAGGGAAAGTGAATAATCTGAGTGCATTATATGCATGTATGAAAATGCCACGATGAAACCCATTACTTTGGACAATACAGACAAATATGAAAGACAGCTGAGTGTGGTGACACACACCTTTAATTCCAGCACTTGGGAGGCAGAGGCAGGCAGATCTCCGTGAATTCAAGGCCAGCCTGATCTATACAGCAAGTTCCAGGCTACCAGCCAGGGTTACATATTGAGACTCTGTCTCAAAAAAAAAAAAGACAATGGTGTGATAGGGCACCTTCTTGACCACAGCTACGCCATGTTAAGTTTAGGCTGACTCTAGTTAGCCCAGGGTATGGGAACTCATGCCAACTGGACCCTGGTTGTCTTGGGAACAGGTCAGAGCATCCTAGAGTGCTCCTCCTCACTGCAGATTTATGGCTTCTGTAGGTTATGCTTGGCTTGCTTCTGCAAAATAGTAATTATTGCTTAACAGAATAGAAATTATTAAGGAGACATTCCACCTATATGCTTGGGAACTTAAACTTTTCACTCCTGGTTATAGTTTCTCTGTACAAGAAGTATTCTACAACATTTAGAAGTTCCTAAGATACAATTGCTATACAGCAGAACCCCCCTAGAGAGAATTTTGTGACCAGTAAAGACAATGTAGAATAACAGTAAGATTGATAATGTCTGTTTATGAAAGAAGAGGAAGCTAGTTCTGTGTAGGTGGGGGGTTCAGATGGAAAATTGTATTTTCTTAGTATTTCCTTGAAAATGTTTGCTCAAGCTTAACACTCCCACGATTGGCTTCTGTATCTGCTTGCTTGCTTAGCAACATAAGCAATATAAAAGAACCAAAGTGCTTAGGGTCAGGGCTGCGCTCAGACCCTCTAGGAAAGAGTGGGGCCCAGCCTTACTAAATCTTTCTTTCTTTCTCTAGACTCACCTGTCTGTCTGATTGGGGCATTTGTGGATCACAGACTATAACAAATGGGAAGAAAAATAATTTTTAGAAGAACATAGAGTTTTTATGACCCAAAGAGAGGCAAAGGAAATAGTTAAACTGATGGTCAATCAGATAGGGAAAAAAAAAATAAGCAAAATACAATTAAGGCACATGCCTCCAATACTATCAGACTCCAATGATAAGACACAATCTCTAAAGCTCCTGAAGAGGAATATGGGTTAATCACAAGAATCAAACCAGTAACGAACTGCTCATCACCACCACTAACAGCTAGAAAACCATGTGGCAATGTCAGCTGCTACAAGGAAATGTTATTTTTGATCCTATGCTTATTATCACCCTTAAAACATGAGAACCAAAAAGATACATGATCATATAAGAATTCTGTGATAGGCTGGAGAAATGGCTCAGCAGTTAAGAGCACATTTTCCTCTTGAAGAGGACCTGCGTTCTGTTCCTTCCCAGCACCCACATGGAGGATGACCATCCACAAGTGCAGTTCCAGGAGATCCAATGGCTTTTTCTGGCCTCCACAGGCACTGCACACATGTGGTGCACTTACATACATGCAGGTAAAACACTTATACAATAAAAATAATAGTAAAAAATAAAAATAAAAAAGAATCCTATAAGATAGCCATTTGATTATAAATGGAACCATTAATATGCTTACTAAAAGAAAGAAATAGCAGTTCCTTACTTACCCAATCTTTCTGATTAAGTTTCGCTGCTTCATTATATACTTCAGTGGCAGCTTTATGTTTTCCCAGAAGAAATCTGTGAAAAACACATTTTCTATAATTAGCACTTCAAAATTCTTTATTACTATTTTTGTTTTAAGTCAGGGTCTCCTGTAGTCCAGACTGTCTCAAATTCATTACAGCCAAGGATGACCCTGAACTTCTGATCCTCCCACCTCTACTTCTAAGTGCTATAATTATAGGCATGTAGGCATGTGCCACCTTGCCCAGCTAACCTCAAAATTCTAAAATTAACTCTACTAGTACACATCTTATTTAGTTCCACAGAGGTAAAAATTGTAAAGCTTTTAAAATTTTATTTATTTGAGCTGGTTGTGCTAGAAGGCCAAAGACACTGCTGTGTGTAGGGACTGCATTGGCAGTTGTTCTAAGTCTTAGTCTCATTGCACACCAATTTTGGTGAAGGTCTTCTGTAATTACTTCCTACACTGTTCTATAAATTTAGACACAAACCGTGTCAACCGATATACCATTATGCACTAGCTGCCATCATTTACCAACACCATACAAAAAGGGTGTGTCCTTTCAGAATCCAAGTTCTTTCCATGATCACAAATTTGGAGAAAAATAAAGGAAACTTGGTTCTGTGTAAAAACAATGCAAGCATGCATGACAGTGCAGGGAAGGAAGTGCAGATGTGAGGTCCATGGAGTACTTTACTTTTCTGTTTCAGCTTATAAAGGCTTTGGAGGTGTTTCCATTTAGGAACCCATAGGGCATTCACTGAACAAATACTAAAAACTGACTGTATGTCAAATATGCTAAATATTACAGTAGAAGGATAATTCTTGGGTTGTAAATGTGACTAGAGGAATTATGGCTAAGACACTATGACAAACAGTATCAAGTGTTCTTTGATCAAACTAAAAAGTTCCTTAATCCTAGCTGATATCTTTTTCTACAATTTCGAAGTTAATCCATGCTCTTCAAAATTATACCATTATACCTGTCAAGCCACTTTCCTCCTACCTATCAGGTAGATCTAGCTGCCAACAGCAGGCTCTACCAACAATGTATTTCAGGAGAGTGTATTTCATGTTGTTCTCTGTGACTGCTCCAATACTTACAAAGATCTGGCCACCTGCTTGAGATTATCAGCACACTGCGGGCTGAGAATAGCACACGTCTGAAAGAGTTCTAGGGACTCTTGGATATTTCCTTCCAGGCGAAAAATCAGCGCTGCCAAGAAATAGAAAATAAAACCATGCTCTCAGAACGCAATTAGAAAAATTGAGAGAGGTCAAATATCAATAAAAAAAAAATCCTTTGGATAACTGTATCTTTAATCCAATCATGTATCACCAGATGAGTGGAAACAAAATTGTTAATAAGCTAAAATTTCTCATAACAAGCCAATTCAAACCTACGTACTCTACTCCCAACATCCACACCTGGAAAAGTGGTCTTTTTGCAGATCATCACAGACACTCTTCACGGTAATTATATTTTGGGGCCTCCCTGTCTGATGCCTTGCATTTGGGCTTCCATCTGATAGTTTAAGAAATCCCAAATGGGACATAGGCCTCAACACCTCAAGTCCAACAGGGAGATTCTGGCAAAGAATACAATAATTTTTCTAGGCTGTAGCTCTCAAAATAGCAGCCAGTCATAAAGATAATTTTTTTCAGCCTTAGTTCTCAGGAGACTCTTATCATACACAGGAAGTCTGCCATTCCTGTATTTGGCTTCTAATGAGTTAATTTATCCTCTGCTTTATGCTGTTTATCTGTAGGTTGCTTCTCTTCATCTTGATTCACCTTATAAAATCCTCAAGCCTGTTCTCATACTTCAGTGAATATGAGGCACCCTTCGAAAAGTACTGTCTGGTCCTGAAATCGCTATGTAAAGCAGGAATTCTAGACAACTATGCAGAAAAAAACTAGCCAGAAACTAAATGGGCAAATTATAGTAGCAAATTATAAACAGTACCAGTCATTTCTGAAATAAAACAGCATATGAATTGTGTTCATATAAGCATAAAAATATTCGCCCTTGGAGCTGGAAGAGATGACTAAGCAGTTAAGAGCACTTGCTGCTCTTGCAGAGGACCCAGGTTTGGTTCCCAGCACCCATGTCAGTCAGTTCACAACTGCCCATAACTCCAGCTCTGAGGAATCCAACTCCCTCTTCTGGCTTCCTTCAAACATCTGTACTCATGTGCACATAACCCCTCACCGACACACATGCATACACATAATTAAAAATAATAAAAATGATCCTTTAAAAAAAATTGTGTTCACCTGACATTATGCTCTAGCCTCCAGATGTGCCACAAATACAAGCCTATACCCCATAAATACCACACACACACCCAAAGAATCATGTTCACATTTCAAAAAATACTAAATAAGACCTTTATGAGACATTACCTGAATTTGTATTCCCTAAGTTGTTTAGTTTTGTTGTTTTTTTTTCAAGAGCCTAGGCCAAATATATTTCTCCAGTGAGAAAAGAAGTATGTCTTACCTTGGACATAGATAGCATATTCACATAACCCCTGAGTCTCCTGAAGCTGTTCTTTAATGACAGCCTATGAGGAAAAAAATGCATCTGAGTAGTAATCATTCAGAGATAGTAGAAATGGGCAAGAGGCATCTGTGAGACACCCTAGGACATTAATAGGACAAGGCAGTTCTTTCTGAATTTTCATTTCCATCTTAACTCTTTTGATCATTTACTTTAGAAAGGGGTTAGCAATCTACAGGGTCCACAGGACATTTCTATACAATTCTCGGTTAAAAATGTTTTCTTTTTTTTTTTTTTTGGTGTTTTTGAAGCAGGGTCTCCCTGTAGCCCCCGCTAACCTGGAACTATGTAGACCAGGCTGGCCTTGAACTCAACGAAATCCACCTGCCTCTGCCTCCCAAGTGCTGAGACTACAGGCATGCACCACCACACCCAGAAGTTTTATATTTTTTAAGTTAATAAAAACAGAAACCAGGCATGATGATATATGCCTATAATCCTAGAATTGAGGAGGTGGAGGCAAGAGGATCAGGAAATTAAGGTCATCCTTGACTATACAGTGAGTTTGAGGCTAATCTGGGCTATGTGAGACCCTATTTCAAAGAAAGCAAAAATAACAAAAAGGTGATGACATAGCCGGGTGTCATGGCCTTTGGTCCCAGCACTCAGGAGGCAGAGGCAGGTGGATCTCTGTGAGTTCAAGGCCAGCCTGGTCTACATAGTTCCAGG